CTAAATATGAAAATAATTTAAATAAATATTTCTAATTCGAAAAATATATTTCAACTGACAAAATAGAAAAATATAATTTTAAACAAAAAACGTAAAAGTAAGTTACTTTAAATCTTCTAATTGCATAAGTAAATATAACCTAAGTAAATAGGTTTTCATATAATACATTGTTAATCATGTAAAATTTAAAAAATCGGTCGTTTTTACTTTAATTTAAATAAGATAACAAGAAATATTCATGTTTTAAATTTAAAAAAAATTATATATTTTACTATTTATCATAAACTCAACTATCAGTGATATCAATATAAATCATAGATGAAGCGGTACCAAATTTCTGAATAGAAACATATCTCTACAATCTTCTGTTGGAGAAATTAGTTGTAGAAACATACATAAAAATTTAAAACATTAATTGATTTTGTTACTAACATTTATATTTACTTAAAGTTTTAAGTTTAAGTAAAATTAAGAAATAGAAAGTAGTGCGGTAAACTTATCCTATATACTGTATATATATGGGATAAGTGTACTGCACTACTTTCTATTTCTCTCACTCTATTTGAATAGGATTTATAATATTATAATTAGAATTATAATATTATAAATCCTATAATATACATATTATAATTCTGTAGTATAGTGTATTTAAAATGCAATTTAAATATAACTGTAGATGTAGGCTATAATTATATGCAGATTTACGTATCAACTAATAATATGCTGTAGTCGAAACATAAGTTAATTCGTTAGCTTTCTATTTAGTTTTAAACTTTTGTAAACAATACACATCTCTTTATAAGGTAAAAATTCTATTTGTTATATTAAAAAAAACTATACATATAATTTGTATTTAGTCAATAAAATATAACAGAAAAATGAAATATAAATTATTATTTTTATTAAACCAAGTATATAGGCCAAGTATTCAATATTTTTGACGTAACAAGTCATCAAAATAGTCAAGTTAAACGACTCCTACTAGAATGATTTTAATAAAATTTAATTTAAATTTTATTTTCTAATTTTTTAACCTATAAAATGAAAAAAAATGTTTATAAATTACAAAAATTACTATANTTCTTATCAGCTAATTTGTGAACAAAATGCATACAAACATACAAAACGAATAGTTTCAGAATATATTAAACAAAATAAAACCATCTTTTAACTGAAATTTATTATATTTAGCATTAAATTTGGACAATTTACAAAAATTTTTCTATATTTTAAGTATGAAAACGATGCATTAATAACGGGAAAAGTGTCTAATATTTACGGAAATGGAAGTGCAGATAAAGGGGGTGGGCAAAAGCAGAGTTCACGCATTATCCCAAACAAAGGGTTAACGGTTAAAATTAACCTTGATTTTATTACTAATCAGTTAACTTAAGTTGTATTTCCGGTGTCCACTTCCGTAAAAACACCTGACCCAGTTTAGCACCTGCATGCACATCAGTCTTACCTGTTATTGTTAAATCTGTTTCCGTCCCATTTAGTCGCTTGGTTGATGAATCGTGACAAACACTCTTTCCATTTGGGTATAATATAGATTAGATACTCTTATTATTTTGTCAATTTATAAAAATTTAATTTTCTACAAATAGTTAAACCAAATTTCGAAAATGCGTGTTTAAAAAACTTATTTTTTTTTCTTTAACTAAATAAATGTATTTTTTATTTTTGGTTTGGCCCAAAAAAGAATTTTTTTATGATTTAATTTTATTAATTTTCATTATTTTAAGTGTCATAAAAATCATTTGAATATTCCGATAAATTTTTTCTTGTTTTTCTTGACATTTTAACACGCTATCTGGTGTCAAATTTTGTAACTAATTCGATTATTGACAGATAACGAAAAAATTAAGACAGTAAAAAATAAATTTTATTAACATTTAAACTAATTTAATTGAAATAATTTTGCATTTTTAAGAATTTAATTATTCTTACCTTTTATTGCATTTACAAAACATGTTATTAAAGATATTTGTATCATTAAGAAATTGCATGATAGAGTCTACCTTATCTTCAATACAGTTTGAAGGCCTTCAGAAACGAAATGTTTCAAACATATATTTTCAGTTTTTGATAGCATTTTGGCCTTCGTGCTGATTGATCTCCTGAATAAGTTTAAGTATAGCTTAAGGGAAGTTTGTTAATCATCTATTGTAACTATAGAGAAACCGATTTCCTACATTTTTTAAAAGTTGTATGTTTTTTCTGTTATTCAAAGCGAAGTTTAGATCATTTCTTGGTTTACTCCGGCGTCGGAAAGTCACACGGGGTCACATGTTAAGTCTAAAACACTAGAGAGACGGTAAGCTTAGCCCGAGGGTAATAGAGCCTAGAGCATTGGCGGCTCAACGAGTCCAGCAGTATTTTCACTGGTTTAGGAGAGAAACAGGGCGGAGACTGTGGACGGGGTTCTGGAAGACACTTTCGGGTCTCGTGCTCGCCATTGTTCGCGAGACACAAGTCTATTGTGTAAGTGCTCGAGTGGCTGCTGCTACGTATACATCGTTGTGTTATAGGGAGTAGAGAGAAGAGCCGGAATTTGGCCGGCATGTTATGAGCCGAAAATTCGTCAATTGATATTAAAATCACTCATGCTGGAATCGGAAGTGAATATGGTAAGTTAATACTTAAAATCAATTGGATGAGACTTGAATTGTGTGTTTAGTACAAGTGCCTTTCAAGTACTGAAACCAGGAAATAGATTTGTTTAAACCTATCAGATTTCGGATTACATTTTTATATTTATAACTTAAAATAAGTTTAAATATAAGTATAATACATTCTTATACAAATATATTTTAATGTATAACTATAAAGATATCTTAATTATTTAAATCAATTGCTATCTTTTTATTGTAATGAACTAAAACAAGTCTTTACTTGATAAGTGACTTTTTTTTTTTTGACAAATTCTTCCCTCAGTAATGTTTTCTAAGACAAAGAAGATTGATTTATATATAGTAGACACTATAATTTACTTATATTAATTAACTTGTATTAATATATAACAGGATAAATTAGATATAGTATAATAATTCTAACATATCAAGATCTGTTCAATAAATTTCACAAGTTTCAGTTCCGTTGGAGCAGGTGAAAGTGCAGGTGAGAGTATCAGGTTCTTCAATCTGGACTGATACAATCTCAACTAAACTCATTTAGTGTTTGCTGTAAAATAAATCTTTATATTAATCCGACTTTTATTTCAACGTATAAATTTTGTATCCTTTAACAACTAAACTTTAACGAAATAATGTTTTTTCGTGGGATAAAGAAGAGCGTAGAATTATTTAATTAAATTCTATTTTTACCAAACAAAAACTGTCAAATAAATTATTAATAATCGTATCATGCTTACATCGATGTTAAACGTAAATTTTTAAACATCTAGTTGACATAAGTAATTTTTTCTGGGTAATCAACTGTCACCCTACAAGGGTAATTCTGGTAGTGAATCGTTCACTCCCATCCCACGCATCAGTAACGGGGTGCTAGATACACATCCCAATCTACACTGGACCGCCCATGGACTGAATCACGTGACACTACCGGTAGTAGGAATTGGTACTTGCCCCCCGTGTCGAAAGACTACCCACGAAGCAGGTAAAAGTTTTAGGCTTTTGTTTCAATACACGAACACACCTTTACGATTCTAAAATTGGAGGAGATTCCCTATGGTGTAAATGGATCAAACAAGACACTTTCTAACAGATTCATACAATAGAAGACATGTTTCAGACTGAACATCTGTGAGTCTGTTCAGATGCATTGCCATTCTTAGTTTAAAAAATATTCTTTTTAATAATAATTTTTACTAAAATTAAAGTTATTTATGTATATTTTCTCTTATTATATGATATTCTAGAAAGTTAGATAACAGTTTACATTCAGTAAGGAGAATTTAGGTCGGTCCAGGTGTTCTATGTCTCTCTTACCTTTCCGTAATCACTATTATTTTACTAACAAGCAAGAGGGGCTTCTTCCTGTTTTTCTTTCTTATTCCTAACAGCATTAGCATGTTAATTAAATATTAAAAGCTGTAGTGTATCAATTTAAAACTTTCTTTGTTTAAAATAATTTTAAGTTGATTTATATAATTGTTTTATTTTTTATTAGTTCGATTTTCGAAATAAAGAATTAATTTTTTTCGGTAAATTTTGAATGTACTGAATATAAATCACACATCCAACAGTGAAAAATGTAGTTGTGCAAGTAAAGATTTCTCAATAAGAATAAGATAATTAAGTAAATTTGTGAAAATTTATATATATATTTTAATTTTTAACGATTTAAAAACATCTATTTTAATAAGAATATTTATATATATATATATATATATTTTCCTGTGAGATAGTCAATTTTTAAATAAAAGTTTAGCTTTTTAAATCTTAAAATAAATCCTTTTCATCTTTAAAATAATTTATTCCATGGTTTTAATTATAAAATTAAAACATTTTTAATATCAGAATTCCGGTTAACGTTTATGATACGGGAATTAAGATGCATGTTTGACAGCTCATATTTTAATGTGTAATTTCATTTAAAATCTTATGATATTACAAAATTTCCTTTTTTTTAACGAATAGAAAAATTAATCAAAAATCGTTGAAAACTTTTTAAAATTTCAATTTAAATTCATGTTATAAATACTTATTCTAAAATAGAATATTAAAACGTATCTATGCAATGCGAATATTTCGATTTTTATATTTAAGTAATTTATTTTATATATAAGTTAACGAAAAAAAAATTAAAATAAAAAATTTTAAATGATAAACAAACTAGTTTTGTAAATACTTTAATTTTTTTTCTTTCTTCAATTTTTTTTCCTTTGCTGGATAATTAACTTTGCTTCTAAGATAATCCTATTAACTTATGCCATCTAAAAATATGGACAAAGTATAGGTTTATATATAATTCGATCATTGAACGTGAGGAGAATTTTCAAAAAATCTGGAGGAGTAATTTTCATCGATCATGCAACAATGACGCAATCAGTAATAGTTATGCCAAATGGCATGGCCGAAAGGTAAAAAAGATTTTCGTTTTACCATTGTCGAAATTGCGGAAGTTAAATTACTTAAGAAAAAAAAAGCATCAAAGTACTCCTCTGTGTTGGACTCGTGATCCCTCTTGGGCAATTATGATGTCATTTTAACAAGTTTCTCGTTTCGTAGTAGCAACTACACGGAATTAAAGAAGGAATAAAATAAATTAAAGGGTTATTTAAATTATCTAAATTATAATAAAAATAAAATTTAATATGTAAGAAATCTTATTGTTGTAGAAATTTATTTCGAGTTTAATTATTTCACTTAGAAATTTAAGGATAAAAAGTTTGAATTTTTTTTTTTTGAAATAATAATAGTTTAAGCATAAAGAATTCTAATTACTATACAAGAGAAAGAGATCTCTAGACCATTATTTTGTACTATTCAATGTCTCTCTCGTTTTGTTATTTTCTATGTAATGTTTTTAGCAAGACGTCCTATCAAGCTATTTTAAGCGTAATACAACAAGCTTCAAATATTTTTACTGAATATTCTTTTTGAAAGTTCTAACTACTGTAATAATTCTCTGTATGAAAACAGACTGACACTTAGAGCATTAGAATGAATTCTTTTACTAATATCTACTAAAGTTTTTCAGTGTAAAAACATGAGATTTTATATTAGACGAATTAATAATGAATCAATATGTCTCATACTTAATTTTTACAGAATGTCTTCTAATAACTTTTATCTAACGTTTTTAAGAAGAAATTTCAGAAAATTTTTAAACATTTTTCAGTATGAAAAGTTCCGTTATCAAATTTTGTATATACTCGTGATATATTCAAATGGGAATATATGAATTTATTTAATATATTCCAATATAAACTATTATATTTAAAATTTTTTAATAATATTGTGCCCAAAATATTTTGAGCCATAGAAAAATACACACTATGCACAAAATAGCTGTTCAAATGATGTTCGATGTGATTGCCGTCCTTTGCACACACAATTTAGACAGGTGATTCAATTATTCCATATATATTACAAAATCTCTGAGGTCAGAGATGACTCGAATGTTCTTCTTCGATCGTAGATTCAGTCCTCTTAAACTTGGCTACTAGTTGCCCAACAATGGTTGGAGAAATTGGTGCTCGCTCTTGTGTTTGAGGTTGAATCCTGTATCACCTCCCTGTTACTCCCTGTTACTGCGCTGGTCGACTATTAGGGTGATCTCAATGCGTTCGTCTTGCGTTAGCATGGTCCTGAAACGGGGAAAATACCCATTACATTACAACGGGGACGACCAGAGAGAGGGGTAAAAAGAGCAAATTGCCCTGGGTTCCAAAGAAGTTGGGGCCCATATGCAATATTTTCCCGTTTACTTCCTTTAATATAATAATTTAATTTGCTGTAAAGCCCCAATATGTATTTTGCCCCAGGCCCCCGCTACCCTCTGGGTGGCCCTTCATTACAGTTTCTTATGGTGCATGACATATGGGACACCCCGTATTTATAGAGAATGTGCTATAATCTATCATGCTAAATACTATTAAATATAAGTTACAAATTTGTAAATACGATATATTCTGCTTAACATTTCATAATAAAAAAGTTATTTAAAATATTTTTAAAAATAAGATATTCTATTTGACGTCTTTTAATATAAGCGATGCATGTTAATATACGACTTCTTTAATGCGGTTGTGGATTTTATATTCATTTTATAACGCATTTATGGAATTCCGCAGGTAAAACGAATTTAAATACGGTTTAATTTACAAGGTTTTAAGCCGTTTCGGTTACTTAATTGTCCATAAAGCTTACGAAAGTAGCGTAGGTGTTGCTGGATTTTTTTTTTCAACATTTTAGCATGGCCGAAAGCTTTAAAGGTAGGGATTCAGTCATCCGTGCAAATGATTACCACTAAGTTTGATTTAATCGTTTTGGCAATGTGAGAAGATATCGTAAATAGTCATTTATGATCGTTTCTGTTGCAGCTTTCACGTTTCCGTTTTTGAAAAATAGGTTGGGATATAAAGAACTATCGGTTATTTTTTTCTCTAAATATATTCTATTGTTGTTAGATATAATCTAAGTTGACTGTAATTTACAGGATTTATATAAGTTTATAACATAAGAAATAAATAAGGCCATAAATTTTAATATATCCAAACTATAAAAACATTTTTTAAAGAAATAGGAAATTAACAATAAAAAATGTCACTGAAGTGATAAATTTTAAGAAGTTACTTAGTATATTTTATGTACAGTACTTATTCAATAAATGACTTAAAAATAATTTTTAGTAAATTATAATAAAATTTTTAAGTTGATGATAAAAGAATTTAAATAGAATTTATATAGTAATAGGCTAAGTTTAAAAATATTAATAAAATCCTAAAAATAAAAATGAGAAAAATTTAATAAAATTCTCATAATTTCAAAGAATTAACAGTGATAAAAATAATAACAATAAGGTTATAATAGAATAATATTTAATTAAAATTTTTATATCTTAAATATAGTATAGAACTACTAGAATACTAGAAAAGTACCAAAATAAATTGAAAAACAAATATAAACTGTTATAAATTTTAACGATTTATTACATTCGATGAGTACACAAAAGTTAAGCTGCATTTTTATGCTACATTTGCATAATTTAATATAAATATATAATTTCTTTTTAAATAAAATCTAAAAAAATTAATCAATAAATAAATCTAAAAATGAATAAAATTTTTATATCAATAAATAAATCTAAAAATGAATAAAATTTTTATATAAATTATAAAACTTTTAAATTACTGTTTAGCACTTATTCCAATTTTTTTAGTTATGATTGTTTCATAGGCATACATATTTAAATAAAGAAACCAATAATTAATAAATTAATTTTAATGTAAAATTTAATGTTAAATTTAGAATTATTAAAAATTTTTTTGATTTTTTCACATAATAAATATTATATAACAAGTGTGAATGTATCTGTTCTTAGTTCCCTGATGTAGAACATATATGTGTGAACTCTGCACCAGAAAGTAATTAAAACAAGGAACATTGAGTTACACACTCTTAAAAACATTTGTTTACGCATAAGTTAGCATAATTTAAAAATGTAATAGTGACAGAAACGACAAGGTGGTAAGAAAAAAAACTACGTTAGAAAGTGATACCCCAATTAGAACTAATGATTCATCTGGCATTATAACAAATCAAAGAGTAACTTAAGGGTAAATCTCACGTGTTTATGTCAGAACCCTGAGGTAACCGACTTCCTGTCTTGTTTGTACTGTTTTACGCGAACATCTACGTGCGTTCATTACGTCCGTTGGCGCGTGCACCTGTGTTGCCCCCAGCCACGCGTTAATGACGTCATCTAACACTCGTGCAGTGAACCTGAACTGTAGTGATGAATGTCTGAGTATATCTCTAGTTAATTTGAAATTCCGAAGGGGAAAAAATAAATATATAAATAAAAAAATTAGCAGTTTTTCATTCAATACGGAAAGGTACTATCAATGAATATTTTAACCTGGTCTAAAAATATTTTATTGATAATATTCGATGATTTAGGATTATTTAAAAATGGTTCCTTTAATATCAAATGATTAAAAGCTTTTATTTATGGTTCCCATGTAAAATTTTCAGACCTTAAATTTCTATAATTAAACAAAATATTTTAATTAATGTCATCTTTTTAAAAAGTAAAATCCAACGCTTTAATTTATTGTACTTTAATAAATAAATAGGTAAATTTTGTTATTTTATTGTTAACTTCATTTAAAATTTTCAAAACTTAAATAACTGAAGAGAATTTTAGCTCTAATTACACGCGTAAATGATAGCCTTCCTAACAATATTAATGTTAAAAATTTCATCAATGGTGTTTTTAAAATTTATAGATTTAATAAATAATGATAATGCCTTTATATATTTTTACTGTTTATCTTTAAAATTAAAGGTCATAAATTTTTGTTGATAGCATTTTTAAAAGTTTTTATTGACAGTAGCTTGAAAAATCAAAGTCAAAAAGTTATGATGGAACCTTTATTCTTTATTCATTTCTTTTTTAATTTATAAAAGCATAATTCTATATATTTAATTTTCTAAATAAGTATAATTAAAAAAAGTAAAAGACTAATGTATTTTTCAATAACTAATTATAAATTCGAATATTTGATTGATTGTCGAGTATGAAGTCATTATTAAAGAATTCTACAGAGTAACATCGAAGCTAGTTTTTACCAAAAACGAGTCAAAGAACCTCACATCTAGTAATGGCAAAGATGGTAGCGTAGGAAAACTCATTTCTCATACTAGGTGTTCGGTATGATTAGACCTACATAAAGACTTAGAATAAGGAAAAAATATGACAGTCACCCTCTTGCCTTAAGCCATTTTGCATCTTCTAAAGGTTCCGATGGAAAAAATTTCTGATAGTTCATCTCTGATGCTAAGAAAATAACCAGTTATTTTGGTTGAAGAATGAGAAATATTTCTCACAAAACAGTATCTTTTCACATCTATTACTAAGATGGTTCTAATTCGAAACGATTTTCGGGGATTTTTTTCGAGTCGTTTGCAAACTATTTTTATTTTATTAGGTCAACGATCTCGATCCTTTTTTCTCCCTATTTTATTTCTTAACATAATTACGCTTCTTCTTAAGAATATGTGAATCTTTAAAGCATAAAGACCGAAATGAATCTACTGCACTTAGTTGCTTTTAATCTATAGATTAGTGATGAAAATTAAGTAAATACGATTTGAATATACGTTTTTCAAAATCGAAGAAGTAATTTCTAACATTCTAAATTAAAATATAACTTCGAAATTCTGTATGGTTAAGCATTACGTTAAGTAATTTAAGCCAAATGCATTGGAAAGTTCATTTTATCTGAAATATTAGTTTCTTTCTACAAGAATTTAATTTCAAAAATTACTTAAAAGAAATACCGAAATTGTCCACCACTTAAAAAATTTTTTTCTCTAAAATTCAAGAATTCTCTAGAATTGCATTCATTTCGAA